TTGAGGACTAAGGTGCGCCTGACCCAAGCCATGGTGTTTTCAATAACATCATATGCATGCGAAAGCTGCACAGTGAATAAGGACGACCATAGAAGAATTGATGCCTTTGAGTTATGGTGTTGGAGGAGAATGTTGAAGATGCCACGGGCTGCCAAAAGAACCAATAGATCCGTTTTGGAAGAAGTGTAGCCAGAGTGCTTCTTAGAAGCCAAGATGTCCAAACTTCATCTTTCATATTTTGGACATATTGTCAGGAGGGACCAGTCGCTGGAGAAGTATATTATGCTTGGTAAGGTGGAGGGTCAGAGAAAAAGAGGAAGATCTCCAACAAGATGGATTGGCCAAGTGGCAGCATCGAAGGACTCAAGCGTGGCAACAGTAGTGAGGTTGGCCCAGGATCGGGCAGTGTTTCATTCTGCTGTGCATAATGTCGCTATGAGTCGGTACCGACTCAATGGCATCTAATAGCAGTGACAACAACATGCCATAACTCAAATTAATCAATTCTTCTACAGTCCTCCTTATTCATTTTCCAACTTTCACATGTATATGAAGCTATTGAAAATGTCATGGCCTGGGTTAAATGCACCTTAGTCCTAAAACCATGATTCAAATGTATATATTCTTGTTCAGTCTTCCTTATTCATTGTTCAACTTTTGCATTCATATGAAGCAATTAAGTCAAGTACACATTAGTCCTCAAACTGTCTGAGGGATATTAGTATGTTAGCAATGAACAGTTAAAAGTAATTCCAGAATGTCTTTCAGCAGGGGTAACTTGGAAATTCAAGAGGAAGCACAAACTTTAGTAAGATGATGATCATAAAAATAAGATGTGATTCTGAAGTTTATTTGGAAATATGAGATACTAGAACCAAAATTGACGTGAAGGCTCATGACACCTAGCTCTCTAGGTTGCCAGTTCCATGAGATAAGAAACAATGACATTATTTACCTATTAGTAGCCAGGAGAATGCTAGGCTAGAATGGCGCTCCTTGATAGTGTAGAATGGAAATCACCACCATCTCAAGGAAGCTTTTGAGGAACCTGAAAGGGAGCACTCAAAGTATCTTCCCTCAAGTCCTGCAGAGAAGAGACAGTTTTAAGTTTAAATGGCCAATATAGTTAAACTCAGCATAGAAGTAAATGATAAAGAATACATGTACTTATTAGATGACGTATTTTAAGACATGGTTATGGTGGTTGGTGATTATGTGCCATCGAGTTGGCTCCTACTCATAGAGATCCTGTATAGGATTTTCAAGTCTGCAAATCTTTACAGGAGCAGAGAGCTTCAACTTTCTCCCGCAGAATGACTAGTAGTTGTAAATTGCTGACCTTATGGTAACCCAGTACACTACCAGATCTCTATTGGTAAAGCATATTTGTAAAGGGTCAATTTCAGTTTGTTAAAATTATATTGCAGTAAATTAAGAAGAAAATGGAAGATTACAAAAAAACAAACAAAAAATTTTGTTGACCAATTTCTTATAGTGTCAAAGGTAAAATATTGGAAGGTGTAGCATTTGTCCCTAAAACCTCCTTATAGCTCATGCAGTATATTGAATTGAGATACACAAACTTATAAATCATTAGTGGGAAGAAATGAGCTATATTTTAGAAGATATTTGTTGTTATTGTTAAGTGCCATTGAGTCAGTTCAAACCATTGTTGTTATTGTTAAGTGCTGTTGAGTCAGTTCCAACCAATAGCAACCCTATATAAAGTTTCTGAGGAGCAACTGATGAGCTTGTGCCACTGACCTTATAGATCAAACTGGCA